CCCCAAAACCCCAAAACCCCAAAACCCCTGAAGATTATTTCTGGATTGAAAAATGGGGTATTATGGAGGCTTTAGGTAGGGATTCTTGGAGGAAAGTTGGGGTGTGGGGGGTTGGGGTGTTGTATGGGGAGGAGATATGGATCTGAGGGATTTAGGAAGAAATTTTATAGTATGAAATTATTAGGTTATTATTGTTATGAAGAAATTGCCATGTTTATAAATGTTCTTTAGACTTTATTCTTGATGTAATCTTTTGAGGATCTTTGAAATTTCTTTAAAGTATTGATTCCAATAATTTGAAGTACTAACCTCTCTATGTCCTTTGGATTTTTGAAATCAGACACCGCCGCATAGTTAGCTTAAAGATGGTTCTAAAAATTTAAATCATCAATCACCATGACTTGAGAAGGTAGACAAAATTAGCTTAAAATTTGATGAAATCTCTGCTTCGAGAGTTCCTCATCTAAGCACCGTTGCTAGCTTAAAACTAGCTTGTGAGATCCCTGGCTCTAAAACTAGCTGTAATATTTCAGCGATTGGCTTCCAGAGATACCCAATTTTGAATGAAAGGCAACTACTCACATTATTCTTAATCATATTTATGGAATCTATAACCTTGAAATATGAGCAAGACCTCCATGAGAAGGATTATGGAAATAGCTGCTATGTTGGCAATGAAGCTCATTGATGATATTAACCCAGTTTATCAGTCTGACACCGTCCTGGATCATTCGGGCTCGAAATTAGCCATGAATCAGGCTAGCTACTAACGAACGTTCGGACATTGATGTTAAAAATTAATTTAGATTTAAAAAATTACGGTAGATTTAGAAAACAAAATAGAGCATTGAAGGCTTTAGCTATAACTCTGAAAATAAGAGCTTATGTTCTACTACTCAGATGCAGATCAAGCAAGCCCTAGAGGGAACGTTTTATACATCTTATCATCTCACCTTTCTCTGGTATATATTTAACAATTTGGGTAACTCTCACCAATAACTAGTGAATGGCCAAATATTTGGCTGGGATTTCTTGCATAAAGTACGCTAAGAACATAGGTTTGATGTATAGTCTCTAGAACTTCATATGCAAGTCGGCTCTTCAATCATAAAATTTAGAGTATGACTACCTGGTTTGAAATTCCATTCTGTCTCTATATTTGAAATAAGATGATAGAAAAGAGATCGTAGGGATATCTCGCTAATCATACTCAGCTTATTTCAATAAATAGAGAAATGATTTATAAGAGTACTCGACAAATAGAATAAGAATGACTGTTATCCTCATGCTAGAGCTTGATATTCGGCTACTATTCTGTAATTTTGATTTTTGAGAAATGAAGTAAGAGAAGCAGCTCTAAAATAATTTTAAATACACTAATTCTGTATTATTAAGACGAATTAGCCTTTAGAAATTAAAGAAGTGCGATCTATACCAGGAAAATCTACTCTCATATGTGACGAAGGTGTCTTCAATATTTTCCAAAAATTAGGCAATAAACTACATTCTGAAACAATCAAATATTACCTGTTGGTACCTGAACAAACCACCTAATTATCAAAGGGTGATTTGATACCTCGTTCTTACATAACTTATACCTCATGCACTCAGTCCTATTTACAGGTTTTAATGGCCTTATAGCCATCAATAAATAAATATAAATGTTTCAGTCAAGAAGAACCTGATTATAACTCACGTTTATTTTCTTTTGAAAATCTGATATTAAAATTCTCTCGAAAGTGTAAACTGGGAAATTTATTAACAGAATTTTAACACAAAATTATTAATGTTCCATCCTTTAGACTACCTATTTCAGAGTAAGGGTATACTCAGAAGAAGGGCAAGTCCACAGGCTTTAAAACAATAGGATCTTAAAACAATTGGATGTCCTCTAATTGTTCAGGCGTATGAACATCTCTCATAGTCAAGTCGAAGTTGCAGCTCCCTTGAACGACAGAAGGCACTTGCTCCCTGAATAGTGGAGGTTCTCTCATACTATCAAGTGGTGCTTTAGATTTCTTTATCTGCTTCTTCTGCTGAATCAGCTTCTGTAACAGGCTACGAATTTCTGATTTCAAAGAGGTGGGGAACCTTTCAGAAGGTTCATGATCAGACTTAGATTTTATAATGTTCTTTTCAAAATTAGAAGATTTTTCCAAGATACATTCATCAGATTCCCTTAAGTTAAAAGAGGTCTGTAGCATGTTCTGTCAAAGCTTGGTGTGTTCCATAGACTTGCTACTTCATCACAATTTTTCTTTTCTTTCATTGAACTCTTTTATGATTAGTGATCTTAGAAGATGCCTCAGATATAACTTCATCACTGATATCTCAATCTTCAAAATCTTCATTATCCTTGGTTACAGAGACAGGTAGGAATACTTTTGGTTGGGTTTTATAGGTGGCGTTCATATAGTTTAAATATTTAATACTTATATTTCACCTTCTTTATCTATAGTTGGGGTTTTGGGGTTTTGGGGTTTTGGGGTTTTGGGG